ACCCTGGACTCATAAAGGCACACACCAGGCTGGAAATGTTCTCAGAATAGCAGGTACACAAGCATATGTCCTGGAGTGGGTCCACTCTAGTACTAGGTGTTCTTGGTCAATTTGTATCTATGAACCACCTACATCAGTAGCACCTGATTATTTAAAATACAGATTCCTGGGCCCCCACTCCTGACCCATTTAATCAAATCTCTTTCGAGGGGGGCCAGTCCACCCTAAAGGAGATCAGTCCTGGGTGTTCATTGGAAGGACTGATGTTGAAGCTGAAACTTCAATACTTTGCCCACCTGATGCGAAGAGCTGACTCATTTGAAAAGACCCTGATGCTGGGAAAGATTGAGGACAGAAGGAGAAGGGGATGACAGAGGATAAGATGGTTGGATGGCATCACCGACTCAATGGACATGGGTTTGGGTGGACTCCGGGAGTTGGTGATGGACAGGGAGGCCTGGCATGCCATGGTTCATGGGGTTGCAAAGAGTTGGACACGACTGAGTGACTGAACTGAACTGAACTGGAAGCTGCATTTTCAATAGCCAGCTCAGGTGAGTCTATTGCTCTAGATTAAGTCTTCTCAGTGTATAATATTATCCCATAAAGCACTGGGAAGTTTCTTCTATAAGTCACTCACTGATCCTCCCTTTAATTTGTACACAATTTTATTTTTATATCAAAAGATTATTTATCAAATACCTACCGAGTGAGTTATTAAGTGAAGTACTATACATATACATGTGTGTGTGTGTAAGTATATATATACTCATGTAAGCTCAGTTGCTCAGTCACATCTGACTCTTTGCAACCCCATGAACTGTAGTCCACCTGGCTCCTCTGTCCATGGGATTCTCCAGGCAAGAATACTTGAGTGAGTTGCCATTTCCTTCTCCAGGGGATCTTCCCAACCCAGGAATCAAAGCCACATTTCCTGTGGCTGCTACTTTGGCAGAAGAGTTCTTTACTGCTGAGCCACCTGGGGAACCCTATATAAATATGTATACACACACACACACATATATGTATATATAGGGCTTCCCTGATAGCTCAGTTGGTAAAGAATCCACCTGCAAAGCAGGAGACCCCAGTTCAATTCCTGGGTTGGAAAGATCCGCTGAAGAAGGGATAGGCTACCCACTCCAGTACTCTTGGGCTTCCCTTGTGATATAATATATACACATAATCCCTCTAAAATTTGCTTTACAATATCGTAATCAGGTTGGTTTTACATGTGACAGTATAAAGGGCAGAGTTGGCCAGCTGGAGGCAGAGGCATTTAGCCAGCTCTACACCACACACAGCTATCATCAGTCCTTCTTACTGGCTTTGCCTCCTTCAGTCAGAACCTCCCAGTCCTCAGATACCTGCTTTCTCCAAGTACAGAATTTCTCCACTTACCACTTTACCCAGGGCCCAGGCTGGAAAAGCACAGCCGGCAGTCCCAGGTGGGGGTTTCTCTGATGCTCAGAAATAACAGTCAGGAGCATTCCCAGCCCCTATCTTCTTGATTCTTCCCCATCCTATGCAAGAAATCGTGGTGCATAGCAGCAGCCCAAGCCATCTAAAAGATCTCCCTGGAAAAGCTGTAGGTTCAGGATTGCTTCCTGCATGTTGTTCCCAGTCCTGCGTCAGGCACCAGCCTGGGCTGTCACTTAGACTCTCACCACGGCACCAACTTGCACACGGGGTTGACTCCTGGGTCCTTCATGCAGGTGAGAGAGCAGAGGGTGGGAGCTGACTCAACTGAGCCTCCCACAGGGACCCCTCCCCACAATCCCTCCCGGGACATCATTCCCTGGACAGCCCCTCCCATGCCTTTCTTCCTATTTTTCCTCCACCTTATCACATTTCTGTTAACTTGCACATAAATAGCAAGATCCTGCTGATTTGCAATTGCAGGACACATTTATTTATTTTTTTTTTAATTATTGAGCATCATTTACGTACGGGCTCCCCAGGTGGCGATAGTGGTAAAGAACCAGCCTGGCGGGCTGCAGTCCATAGGGTTGCAAAGAGACACAGCTGAAGTGACTCAGCATGCACGCATGCATTTATGTATAGTGAAGTGCAGAGCTCTTGAGAGCACCGTCCCATCCTGTGAGTTTGACAGATGTCTGATCCACAGCCCATTCAACAAACAACGTTCTCATTGCCCCAGAAAGATCCCTTGTGCTCTTTCCCAGCCAGTCCCCACCCTCCAGGGTACAGAGAAATGCACTAAGTTTTAAGATCTCCTGGTTTGTTCCTGCAGGCATACACTTTAATTCTGTACAATTTTTTTACTATGGAAAAAAACACAATGGCTGTTACTTGTCATTAGGTTTTCTTTTTGGATTTCTTTTTTTGTATAACATAAAGTTATACTTAATTACTTTCTGTAACATATAAATAAATGATAAGTATTAATAAATAATGATTAATCAACAAACAAAGAAAAAGAAATAGGGGAAGGCCAGCTGGGGGAAAAGCAGAGAAGCAAAGCAGGAGGTGGAGCCAGTGAAGGACTCTCAGATATCGTCACTGTCCTGGCTGAAGCCCTTGGCAAAGGTTCATTCTCCCTTCATCCCTTTGGAGCAATGTGTCTTATGCTGTTTTCCTTTTCCTTCCAAAGGAAACATCCTCGAGAGAGGCTCTTGGGAAGCTCCAGCACATGTCTCTGGTGGCCCCTCTTCCCAGGGCTCACAGCCTGCCCCCCGTTCTGCTGCCCACAAAACCTTGGGCTCACACCCCCTGGGCACCCACTATCCACAGCAACGCTCAATTGCTGCTCCAATGCCCGCACCTCATGCTGCAGTGCAAAAGTCCTAACCGGAGCCCTGGGTACAGCTAGATCAAGTTAATCACAAAACAAGACAAATGTGGGAATAGCCAAGCAGTCCCAATGAACAGCCAAGAGGTCCCACTGAAAGCACAGGCAAGAAGCCATTCATCCCAACAGTTATGACTGTGCCCAGACTCCTCTCTACATTCCTGCTGGGAGTCTGAGCACATCCTGTCCAACATGTCTGCAAAAACAACCCTTGTTATGCTCATCTCATCCCTGTTTATGAAGGCAAAATCTCTTGGGAGCAAGCCAAATGTCAACATTGGGGGATTCATTAAATAAACCATGGTGCCATCCATACAGTAGGAAACTACATACCCACTAAAAATAACATCGAGGAAGAATATTAATAGACATAGAAGCTGAGGGGGTATATTGCTAAGATTTAAAGGCATCTCACAAACAGTGTTAACAGTTTTCTGAGTGTTAGGATGATACGGGTGATGATCACATTCTTCTGCTGATTTGTCAGTACTTTGTACAATGACTGTGCTGTGTGCTGGGCTTAGTTGTCCAATCATGTCCGACTCTTTGCAACCACAGGGACTGTGGCCAGGCTCCTCTGTCCATGGGGATGCTCCAGGCAAGAATACTGGAGTGGGTTGCCATGCCCTGCTCCAGGGGATCTTCCCAACCCAGGGACTATGGAATATTAATTTTATTTATTAAAGATACACAGCTTTATACTGTTACATATGAAGGAACAAAGCATAGACAGGAAGTGTAGAAATGCTACAATAGCAATTTCACTTAAACACTAACAGCGAGAAGTAGAAAAGACATACAGTTATGACCCCTCTAGAGAAAATGCAAGGACTAGGATTTTGAGTACCAAGAGAACACAAAACATATGATGAGTTTAAGTCCTTACTATCACTGGAATTTAAATAGAGTTATTTCTGAACATTAGAAATGAATCTTGTAGAACCATCCCCTACTTAAAACCACCAATGCTTTTCAATTTTGGCCTAAGTCTTCTATAATCCCAATTGTTTTTGATTCATAAATGTGGATGTATCTATCTCTAGTAACTAAACAAGGAACAAGTTGGAAACCACTTGTTACACCTACACTCTTGTCTTGAAAATCAGTGCCTCAAATTAGAGCTCATTTGCGTGCTGTACTTCATGTTGTATATAGAGGGACAATGTACCTTAAATGGGGTTTTGGAGGCATTATTAAGCATTGCAGGACTGATCATAGGAAATACACTTCTAGCTCTAGATTCAAGTTATTGGAAAACCGAGGCCTGGTCACTCTGTTCTCTTAACAGTGCAGAGGTCACTAATTGAGCTGTTTCCAGAACCCTTGGCTTAGCATGACATTATCCTGTGGGAATAAAAGCAAACCTCAGACACGGAAGTTCGATTGGAGACCACCAAAGTGAAACAGATATCTCAATAAAGCATGTCACGTGAGTCTTTTGGTGTGATACTATAATAATAACCAAAATGACACAGAGACACCAAATGAGCAAATGCTCTTAGGAAAAAAAAAAAAAAAATGGCACCAAGAGATTTGTCAGACTCAGGGTTGCCACAAAACTTTCATTTAAAGAAAACAAAATGCAGTATCAGTAAAACACAACACAATTCAGTTCAGTCACTCAGTCGTGTCCGACTCTTTGCACGTCAGGCTACAGCACGCCAGGCTTCCCTGTTCATCACCAACTCCCGGAGCTTGCTCAAACTCATGTCCATCAAGTAGGTGATGCCATCCAACCATCTCATCCTCTGTCCTCCCCTTCTCCTGCTGCCTTCAATCTTGCCCAGCATGAGGGTCTTTTCAAATGAGTCAGTTCTTCACATCCAGTCAAGCATACTGGAGTGGGTTGACATGCCTTTCCCCAGGGGATCTTCCCGACCCAGTGATTGAACCGGCATCTCTTTCTTGTCCTACAGGGGCAGGCAAATTCTTTACCACTAGCGCCGCCTGGGGGCTGCCGTCTACAGGGTCGCATAGAATCGTACACGACTGAAGCGACTTAGCAGCAGTAGCGGCAGCGCCACCTAGAAAGCCCACAGAATAAGGGAACGAAGGGGAATTTCTGAAGGCCTCTCCGTCCTAGCCAATCACTAGCTACACAGCCGGAAGCTTGGGACTGATCGACAGACGCAGGCTTTTCCTAAGTATCGCGAGGTAAAGCGGGAAAGCGACCGACCATCAATTGGTTAACGGGATCAGTGACGTCAGACGCAAAGCCCCGGGCCTGCCGCTGGCGCGTGAGGGACCGCTCGAATTCCGTTTGGAGGCTTCTTTGAGCTCGCAGAGTAGACATCATGAGCAAAGCACACCCTCCCGAGTTGAAGAAGTAAGTATGCGGGGCCCCGCGCCCAGATGGCCGCTTCCTTGTGTGCCTCGAGTTCCTTAGATCCTCCGCCATTTCCCAGGAGTTTGCCTGGCGTGCGCATTCTAGTCCTTGGACGCCGAGATCCGGGCCAGTGTCGCGCGCTTCGGGGCCTGAGACCCGCGCAAAAGTAATATTTCGGCAGGGTGGATACGGTTACCAAAGCCAACAAGGCGCCACCATCTGCTGACTGACTTACCGTGTCCGAGCTCCCTGCTCTGTCTCCTGGACCCTCTCCCTCGTTACTTGAAGGTCTCGAATGCCGCACTTTGTTGAACATCTTGAGTAGCATGTTTTCGATAAGGTGGCTGGAGAGTGATTCTATAAAGGAACCAGGGAGATGGGTGTTTGATAGTATCTGAGGAATCAAAAGCCACCTAATCTTAGACTGTGTTTGTAGCTGTTTGTTTGAGCTTTAACTTAGAAATTACATTCCTTTTTTCTTGATTTCTTGTTCGTAGGTTAAGCTTGAATGTTGTGTGATATCTACTCCGTTAACAAAGATGTGTGAGAATATTCATGTTGCTAATTAGAGAAGGCTAGGTTGGGGGCGGGTGGGGTGCGGTTGAACCCAGTAAAATCAACTCCCACGTAGGTTATTCCTGCTATAGGTAACACCCAATTTAAAGTTTTAGCGTCCTGAAACACTCTTGGCTGAACTTAGCATGTTCCATGTTTCCTGAGTAACTTCTCTGTCTTTTTTGTACTATGTAATGCCAGAGTTCTGCATTTATTAGTTGGCTAACAGCAAGGATGGAAAATTGATCCAGGGGTCAGTTTGTGAGGCAGCCACCTGGTCTGCCTTGTGTACAGTTAATTTATGCTTGCCCCATAAAGAAGTCAGACTTAAGGGAAAGTTCATATTTAATGATTTTGCATTTAAATGCATACTTGTACTGAAGCCATATTTTGTGCAGAATCTCCGTGTATATTTTAGTCTGTTAATTAAGACAATTATGAAGTCATAAGCCTGACATTAAGAAAAAAAGAAAGTGCAATTAGTGAGCTGGTAAAATCTTAAATGTCTTCTGAATTCATCATGAACTGGTGAAATTATTTTTTAACGAAGGACCATTCTCTACTTGTAAGACTTCCTTTTGATTAAGAGGAATTTCAGAGGATGAAACTGGTATGAACACCTTTCTCTACTTATCTAGGTTTTATGAGTTGTGAGATCCTGTCAGGTCAACCTCCAGAATGACTTTTAGTCTTTTTCTTCCTTCACATTTCTCACAAATAACATCTTTTACAAGTGTATACCCTTCTAGTTTAGCATGACTCAGTGGTTCTTAACTGCAGGAATGGGAGTCTGCTTCTCCCGAAATCTAGTAGGTAGAAGCCAGGGTTGCTGCCAAACATTCTACAGTGCAGTGGGCATCACTCGACAACAGAATTATCTGGCCCCAAGTGTCAGTATGCTGAGGTGGAGATACTCTGGCCTAATCAGATTGTTCTGGTGCTCTTAAAAATGGATGACAGAGTAGTCTCTGTTTTTTTCATTCCAGTTTCCTTGCGATATAATTGACATATAGCACTGTGTAGGTTTAAGGTTATAGCATGATGATTTAACTTACACATGCCACAGTTGTCTTGCCCGCAGCTGGTTCTGCTGCATACATAACAAGAGTGCAGACTTCTTAACCTAGCACTCAGGGTCCTCCATCTGAAATCCAGGCACCAGATTCTATACACATTAATAGTTGAATACTGTGTTCTCCAGTACCATTTGATTTTATCAGACTTTTTCACAGCTCTGTGACTTAAAATATTTTATTTAAACTTTCTGAGCTTCAGTTGCCCATCTATTAAATGGTGGTAATTACTAATTTATATGTATGTGATTTATGGGCTTGCCAGGTGGCACTAGTGGTAAAGAACCTGCCTGCCAGTGCAGGAGACATAAGAGAGTTGGGTTCGATAACTGAGTTGAAAAGATCGCCTGGAGGAGAGCATGGCAACCCACTCCAGTATTCTTACCTGGAAAATCCTATGGACAGAGGATGCTGGCAGGCTATAGTCCATGTAATTGCAAAAAAGTCTATCTTCTTACAACTTCTGTCTGGCCTTTTATCTTATTTATCTTTGAATTCTCCCATGACATACATTAAAATTGAATGAAGATTCATATTTTTTAGCTTGTAACTGGAAGAGGTAAAAACTGGTTTGACTACATGTCTTCATATTATTCTATGCTGCTGATATGGAATTTTCTCATTTAATTCAAATTGTTTAACTTCAAAATAAGTATTTTGCCAAAGTGAACTTATGTGTTGAAGAATATCCTGAACAATTAAGATTGATGTTTAACACTAAATAAACAACACTACTTATTGTCTCAAATATAGAATAAAATACCTGTTGGATTGGGTATGGTTCGATTACCTTCTGGTTTCTTCACAACTTTGTTTGGTTTTGGAAATAACCAAAAATATAACCAAATCTTTGTCTTTCTGTTAAGCCTGTAAATCCTGTTGTTGAAAATTAGGTCAGTATTGAACAACAAGGATGTTATTGTAGTTTACGTCAATATAGAGACTCAATTTCATGTACGTTAATATGTTCTAAACTCATTCCGTTTTTATTATCTTCCCCTTCACAAGTTACATTGCTCAGTTAGTATAAGTACAGAGGTAGCCCATCATTCTCATCCTTTATAGCAGTGCAAAGCTTTTAATCTTTTAAATTTCATTATTCCTGTTATGTAAATTTAGCAGATTATATTGACAATATCTAAAATTAGTTATATAATCTTTACCCCTTTTGCTTTTTCAGATTTATGGACAAGAAGTTATCATGTAAGTCTTTTTGGTTTTTTATTTTCAGGGTGTTTTTTAAATATTAGTTTTTATATCTGCTTTGGTAGTATATTATATTTTATTATTATTATTATATTAATAATGTTTGGAGAAACTTTATAAAAATTCAAAGCACACAGATCTCTTAATTCACATCCATTAAGCAAGCAGGTTTATCAAAACTAACTAGACAGCTTTATTTACTTAATTTCTGATATTTAGTAAGTTTCACAGTATTTCAGACTTTTATTTCATATAAGTCTTCTCTCACTTTGATGAATTAAATTAGCAGAATTTTCTATTTTATATTTGAAAACTTAACCTTTTTTCCTTTAAACAAAGAGCAGATAGGAATAAAAATCTGACTGGCACAGAACTCAAAGTATGTAGGGGTTAAGACCATGGCTTTAGAAACAAGCAACCTTCAGTTTGAATTCCAGTTTTACCCTACAGTAACTGTGTAATCTTGAATCAGTTACTTAAAAATACTGTAATTCAGTTGCTTCATAAAAAGTCAGGATGATTCTACTTTATAGGATTCCTGTAAGTTTAAATATGTGGGTAAATGTAAAATGTTTAGCCCAGTGCTTAGCATATAGTAAAGATACATCAGGGTTTTCTCACTTAATTTTTAATGAATAGTTTAGTTGATAGTTAATGGTCAGCTTTATTAAATTCCTTTTTCCTTTTACATAGTGAAATTAAATGGTGGCAGACATGTCCAAGGAATATTGCGGGGATTTGATCCCTTTATGAATCTTGTGATAGATGAATGTGTGGAGATGGCAACTAGTGGGCAACAGAACAATATTGGAATGGTGGTAAGTACAAACACAAGATCTTTCTTAGAGATTTCATTTTTCTTTTGGATTAAACATTAGCATCCTTTCTATCCAGCTCTTGGATTAAACTGAAGTTAGGTAAATTACAGGCAAGATTAGACACTCCAACCCCCTTTTAGTTTAACTTATGGAGGTTATTCAGCTGTGGTAATAACCCCAGTTACCTGTAGGTTAGATCTGAATCTTACACAGAACCCACTGAGGTCCTTGGACTTGAAATAGCTGTTGGAATTATTTTTGTGCTTTATTCTATAATGAGGCCCATACTTGTTTCTTCGCTAGAGCCATAGTGAAGTCACTCAGTCATGTCCAACTCTGCGACCCCACAGACTGTAGCCTGCTAGGCTTCTCCATCCATGGGATTTTCCAGGCAAGATTACTGGAGTAGGTTGCCATTTCCTTCTCCAGGGAATCTTCCTGACCCAGGGATTGAACCCCCAGGTCTCCTGCATTGCAGGCAGAGGCTTTACCATCTGAGCCACCAGGGAAGCCCCTTCATTAGAGCAGTAGTATAGACGGTTTTCACATTCCCCAGGTTATTCTAATGTAAGCCAAAGATTAACAGTTGATCTAGAGCTTTTACAGTCAATTAGTCAATGAAGAGTTTTTGTTTTAAGCAAGCAAATAAAAATTATTCTAAGTCCACCTCAAAGCAATTGAAACTAAGGGTGCTGTTTGTGTGTGCTGTTACAAGATCTTATATAATTCTAATGTATGCTGAGGATTACTACTTATCAAACTTCAATGTGCTATGCATTCCCAGAAGGTTAATTACCCTTTCCAAGGCTTGTGTTATTGCTTGTTTCAAGTATATTTCCATTATTGCATTTTGAAAAGCAAATCAGTCAGGGTTGGAAAAACAACTTGGGAGTCCCTAGATATGAGTCTCCCTGGCCTCTTGCACATATTTCATGTAGATGGACCTTCTTTTCAGGTACAGTCCCCTTGAGATTCTGTTGAAAATGAATACAAGTCTGGCAAATCATTAGCATTTTCTTATAAAAGAGAGTTTTAAAAATACCCCAAGATTTCCCTCTAGCCCTTCCTTTTACAGATTAGGAAATCTTCATTCTGATAAAGGGTAGATTAGGGTTTTGGTTCATATATCAACAGATTAGCAAGAAAAAAGAATTTTAAAAAGTTCTAATTTGAGGAAATAACTTTTAGAAATGTGTGGCACTTTTCAGAGTTTTTATTAGTGAAGGTATTGATGTTTCTCGTAATTTCCCCCCTTATTTTAATGAGGTTAATTTTCCTTACATGGAAATTGGTTAAAAGCAGTGCCATCACAAGTCATTCAAATAGTGAGCTCCAACTTATTGTGATAGGCAGTCTATTCTTCCATCTCTGATGCATGTTCTGTGACTAAAACTTAAAGTCTATTAGTAGGTGCTAATTCTTACGGCTGAGTTAACCCTTTGAAAATGAAATAATATATCAATTTTCTTTAATTAAAAAACAGCCTAAAGAAAATGCAAGAATGATTTTTCTAAGGGAAAGAAGGGAAACTCATTACTATTTTGTCACAAGCTGTTTGGCTAAAGAGACAGTTTCGTTGGCTTCATTGTTCCCTTGTCCAATCAGTGACCCATTGAGACCATTGAAATTACTTACTATAAGACTTCCCTGGCAATCCACTGGCTCAGACTCTGCTCCCAATGCATGGGGCCCAGGTTCAATCCCTGGTCAGGGAACTAGATTCCCAAAAGTCACAACTAAGACCTGGTGCAACCAAATAAAAATAAGTTTGTGGGTTTTTTTCTTTTTTATAAAGAAATTACTTAATATAGGATCTGTCAGGTGGATAATTACCTAGTGATGTCTCAATTAGCCTCTTCTGAAATATAACCAGAGTTGTCAGTAGCCTCACCTCTGTCTTATTTCTTTAAGATTCCACTCTACTCCAAGGTTCCCCTAAGAATGTAGTAAAAATTGTGTAGTTTGTTGTTTTTTTTTCATTTATTGTTACTAGTTGGAGGCTAATTACTTTACAATATTGTAGTGGTTCTTGTCATACATTGACATGAATCAGCCATGGATTTACATGTATTCCCCATCCCGATCCCCCCTCCCACCTCCCTGTCCTCTGGGTCTTCCCAGTGCACCAGGCCCAAGCACTTGTCTCTTGCATCCAGCCTGGGCTGGTGATCTGTTTCACCCTAGATAATATACATGTTTCGATGCTGTTCTCTGAAAACATCCCACCCTCGCCTTCTCCCACAGAGTCCAAAATTCTGTTCTGTACATCTGTGTCTCTTTTTCTGTTTTGCATATAGGGTTATCGTTACCATCTTTCTAAATTCCATATATATGTGTTAGTATACTGTATTGGTCTTTATCTTTCTGGCTTACTTCACTCTGTATAATGGGCTCCAGTTTCATCCATCTCATTAGAACTGATTCAAAT